CTATAAAGTGTGGAGACGTGGTTTAAGTTAAACATGAGCAATGGTGGTATACAGCGTGTAGACGTGGTGTAAGTTAAACATGAGGAATGGTGTTGTACAGTGTGGAGACGTGGTTTAAGTTAAACATGAAGAATGGTGGTATACAGCGTGGAGACGAGGTGTAAGTTAAAACTGAAGAATGGTGGAATACAGCGCGGAAACGTGATTTACGTTAAACATGAGGAATGGTGATATACAGCGTGGAGACGTGGTATAAGTTAAACATGAGGAATGGTGGTTTAGAGTGTGGAGACGTGGTTTATGTTAAACATGAGGAATGGTGGTATACAGTGTGGAGACGTGTTAAAGTTACACATGAGGAATGGTGGAATGCAGCGTGGAAACGTGATTTATGTTAAACATGAGGAATGGTGGTATACAGTGTGGAGACGTGTTTAAGTTACACATTAGGAATGGTGGTATTTATTGTGGAGACGTGTTTAAGATGGTGGAATACAGTGTGGAGACGTGGTGTAAGTTACACATGAGGAATGGTGGAATACAGTGTGGAGACGTGGTGTAAGTGAAACATGAGGAATGGTGGTATTCATTGTGGAGACGTGTTTAAGTTAAACATGAGGAATTGTGGTATACAGTGTGGAGACGTGGTTACAGTTAAATATTGGGAACGGTGGTATAATGTGTTTAATATCGTTCACAAATGTATTTTAAATAGTATCCATACGATGTGACTTTTATAGATCCTTTGAATATATATGACAAATTGATAGTGCTTAAAACCATGCATGTGTTTCGAGTCTAGCCGAGCATAGTTGACGACTTTAAATATATGACTCCACACTTGAGTGTTTTATTATCCATTGTTCCCTACCAGGTCTTTGTTCACTATATACGAGGGACAATATATCATCATACTTTACCATATTTACTACACGGTGTCGGATACCCAGTAAAGAAATAGTTACATGTATGGTTAGATAAATAACAAAAAGAAATACAATCCTAGCCCGAACCCAACGGGATGAATTACGGCTTTGATTGCGTAATATTACATCTTTTGTTAAGTACGTCGATCGTTTTCAATTAGAGCTATATTCGCTAAGTGTAACTGGTCCGGTCCGACCTTTGATATGTGTTGTTTTTATATGGAGAAACATTTGGAGCAACATATATTTCAATGTTACTTCAGCTTCACGACTTATTCGAGTCTGTTTGAGTTTTAAATAAAACATTGCAGACTTCAAATATAGCTAATTATTTCACATACTATTAATGATAACAAAGATTTCTAAATTGAAATTATGTTTTAGGAAGATGGCGACCGAGACGAACCGTTATTTTCTGCAGTTGGGGTTCAGAGGAGTATGGCCTCATAGGCTCGAACGAGTGGGTGGAGGTAGGGATTGACAAGGCCATTACTTTACAAGTTACAATACCACCATTATAGAACGAGTGGGTTGAGTTAGAGATTAACAAGGTCACTACTTTACAAGTTACACTACCACTACTATAGAATGATTGGTTTCAGATAGAGATAAACAAGGTCACTACTTTACTAGTTACACTACCACTACTATAGAACGAGTGGGTTGAGTTAGAGATAAACAAGGTCATAACTTTACAAGTTACATTACCACTACTATAGAACGAGTGGGTTGAGTAAGAGATAAACAAGGTCATTACTTTACAAGTTACACTACCACTACTATAGAACGAGTGGGTGAAGGTAGGGATTAACAAGGTCATTACTTTACAAGTTACACTACCACTACTATATAACGAGTGGGTGAAGGTAGGTATTAACAAGGCCATTACTTTGCAAGTTAAAATACCACTACTTTATATGTTACAATACCACTACTTTACAAGTTACACTACCTCTACTATAGAACGAGTGGGTGAAGGTAGGGATTGACAAGGTCACTACTTTACAAGTTAAAATACCACTACTTTATATGTTACAATACCACTACTTTATATGTTACAATACCATTACTTTACAAGTTAAAATACCACTACTATATAACTAGTGCGTGGAGGTAAGGATTAACAAGGCCGTTACCTTACAAATTACAATACCACTACTATAGAACGAGTGGGTGAAGGTAGGGATTAACAAGGCCATTATTTTACAAGTTAAAATACCACTACTTAATATGTTACAATACCACTACTTTACAAGTTACATACCACTACTATAGAACGAGTGAGTGGAGGTAGAGATTGCCAAGGTCACTACTTTACAAGTTACAATACCACTACTTTACAAGTTACATACCACTACTATAGAACGAGTGAGTGGAGGTAGGGATTGCCAAGGTCACTACTTTACAAGTTAAAATACCACTACTTTACAAGTTAAAATACCACTACTATAGAACTAGTGCGTGAAGGTAGGGATTGACAAGGTCACTTCTTTACAAGTTAAAATACCACTACTATAGAACTAGTGCGTGGAGGTAGGGATTAACAAGACCATTACTTTATAAGTAACAATACCACCACTATAGAACTAGTACGTGAAGGTAGGGATTAACAAGGCCATTACTTTACAAGTTAAAATACCACCACTATAGAACTAGTGCGTGGAGGTAGGGATTGACACGGCCATTACTTTACAAGTTAAAATACCACTACTATAGAACTAGTACGTGAAGGTAGGGATTAACAAGGCCATTACCTTACAAATTACAATACCACTACTATAGAACTAGTGCGTGGATGTAGGGATGACACGGCCATTACCTTACAAATTACAATACCACTACTATATAACTAGTGCGTGGATGTAGGGATTGACACGGCCATTACTTTACAAGTTACAAAACCACTCCTTAATAGGTTACAATACCACTACTTTATTTGTCACAATACCACTACTTTACAAGTTAAAATACCACTACTATATAACTAGTGCGTGGGGTAAGGATTAACAAGGCCATTACTTTACAAGTTCAATACCACTACTTTATGTGTTACAATACCACTACTTTATATGTTGTTTTATGATTGCTGTAAAAATATGTTAACTTTGTCGGAGTTTGTACGTACTTATTATTTATATGATGCAGTAGAATGTTTACTTTGTTGGAGTTCTGTATTTACAAACAAAAATATTTTAATAGGCGCTTCCTGACTCCGTATTCTAGTGATTTTGTTTATGTTTATAGCAATATGTAAAGAACCTAGCTGCCCGATCGGTGGCCTACGTGAACTTAGACACTGCCGTGATAGGTACGTAACCTATTAAATGACAATATTCGTACATGTACTAATATGCAGTTTATTTGTTATAACGCATTAAATATAAATTATATCTGTACTGATATACAGACCTATATTTCCTTCATAACAGCAGTGCAAGCATATCGCGTGCAAACAAAATACATCCTGTATCATATGACCAAATATGAGGTCAGCATTGAGTGTGATATTACAAAAGAAGTAGAACGTTTTTAATGTTTCAAGACATGTACACAAGAGTTGCGGCCCTTAAGCTGAGGCTGTCATATCGGGGTTATTTGACAACAAAAATGCGTAGTAAGCCAATGGTTGCCTACTCATTGTAAAGTAAGTTAACTGGCTAATACAGATATATCATTCAAGCTACTTTTGCTGTGAACGGAGGAGACTAGATTATAAGTGTCTCCGTTATTTACTCGCACATGATAGGAATATTAATAAGCAACTATACTTCTCTCAAATCACTTCTTGATAAAATAATTAGCAATTCTATCCTATTTTCAAAAGAAAAAGAAACTGCTCTGGTCTTATCCTTTCAGGTAACTTCTCGTTGCGAGCCTCTGGGACACCTCTGATGTATCAGTCGATATACCACGCCACCAGACAGGTGCAATGTTTGCCATTTTAAAATATTATGGTAGACAAATAAAAACGGGAAAGTAAAATATAACGTGTTCTTACAAGCGATTTAGCTTAAGAATTGTTCAGAATTCTTTTCTTATACTTCCTTTGAATACTTTTTTATTTCTGATAAATAGTTTTTATTTGAAACCATATCGAGACAGATAGTGGTTTTCCGTAGAGCAACATGTCGGTAGAAATAATCATACATCTCACTTTACTATATTAGGTATATTAGAATCAAACAGTTTATCAAAGAGCTTAGTAGGCAAATCATTCCGTCTACATCGTTACAGCATAGTGGCTATATAATCAACAGAATTTTACCATTCCGAAAATCATATACTGGCATCCTATGTATTGTTGGTGAAGATCTGTAAGGGAGTTATATCTTAGTTGGCTGTAAGAGATATATATCCCTTGGTTATTAGTAGATGCCCAATCCTGTTAATTGTTGGTGGTGAAGTTCTGTAAGAGATATATATCCCCTTCTGTAAGAGATATATATCCCTTGTTATTAGTAGGTGCCCAATCCTGTATATTGTTAATGGTGAAGTTCTATAAGAGATATATATCCCCTTGTTATTAGTAGGCGCCCAATCCTGTTAATTGTTGGTGGTGAAGTTCTGTAAGAGATAT